ATAACAGTCAGTGCCATTAAGAACTGATTTGGTTATAACTGCAGTCTGGTCAGCGATAAAAGGTCAAACCTGCCCTGTTTGTGTATCATGATGTAATGTTACCTATCTTGGATCCAGCAGGGACTTAAGGAGAGGAAATGAAGGTGCGTATTTAGATTAAAAAAAACATCAGTAAGCATCACATAATGTGTGGTTTTTAATCTGCTGGAAAGATGTTTCAGACAAAGTTAAAACAACAAAAATATGATGGGTTATAGTGTGATATGCTGTGCCAACCCACTGACTCTAACAGAACTGACACCAAAAGCTGGCTCATCAAATGCTGTCACTGACGTCAGGACTTTTCCTTATTTTCTATTTTACCTTGTCAGTGACTGCATCAAAAACACTCCAACAAGAAACACACAATACACATTCAAATGGAACTCATGAGCTTGTGTTTATAACATGGGAGGTCGTGAACACAAAGTCATGAAGTTCTCATGAACACGATAAACATGACCTCATGTGAGCGCAGCATTGGACCCACTTAGAATGTTTATGCTGTCAAATCTAAATTGGTCTTAAAGATAAAAACTAATTATATTATAAGCAGAGGAAAACCGCATACTTTTTATTCTGCAGTATGTAAAAGAAAATGAATTATCTGTTCAACAAATACCTCATGCTCTGATGAAAGTCTGTGGGCACTAAACTGTTAGACTGACAAACTAATCCAATAACTGTCTTAGATGCAAGACTAGTGTGCAAGAATCTCCTTTTAAATCTCCTATACCACACACTAGCATGAGAAATATTGGATGTGCAAATTTCCTCATGCACAATATAAGTTTTTAGAGAACTGCACACCACAGAAGCTGGGGAAGTAACTAGCACACAAGCACATTAAGTGAGGCTAACTGCTGGTTGTTATGTGTTTGTTCCAAACCCAAGTGGTCATAACTGTAAAGTCCTGTAGCACATTAAGCACACAGTAAATGTACAGGAGAGATAAAGGATGGTACTTTGTGCATGGGGAGATGGTGAAGGGAGGATCAATCAATAAGAAAACTCTTGCCTGTTGCCAGAGGAGGTGCTGTTGTTGAGTGTGTAGCCAGGGCTACAGCTGCTGTCTCCGTTGGTTACTGTTGAGGAGATACTGGCTGTAGAGTTGGAGGAGAGTTTTGGGGAGGTAGTGAAATTCCTGGATGGGGTTGTACTGGATCTGGTGAGCATAAACAAAATCACGTTTTAGAGAAACACATTTGTGAAAATGACACCCAACTTTCAATGTTGTGTAAACCCAGATATATACTTGATGTCAAACTTTATACCAGGATACAACTTATCTCCTGGTCTTGACTGACAACATACCAACGAGGTATTTGCTTACTTGGGATGGGAGGCTTGTCTGGGCCACGTGCCATCCTCATTCTTGCGCTCAATCACAAGCACCTGTGGGAAAACACGCTGAATGAGAGCCAAGCTCGCACAACTGACCTTCATGCCAGAGCTATCATGTCTCAGGCTTAAATTTAATACTAAACGTGCGCCAAGTGCTGCCAAGCTTTAGCAGCTGCAGGTAGGTCCATCAAATGCACTTACTTTGATGTGTGATTAGCCTGTTTATCACCTTCAGTTTACAGTTCTGGGACAATAGCTGCCGGGATAAACTGAAACTTTGTCTCGTGCCTTTCGTGTGCAATAGCATGAACACCTGTATGGTTTAATGTGATTACATAAACTGTATTAAATAGTAAAACTTTAAGAGATTATTTCTGATGGGAAAATCATAGAGGTATTAGCTCAACTCTGCAGTAGCATTTGAGGCTAGTTTGTGTTATGCAGCAAGATATCACACAGGCCAACCTCCATTTAGGAAAAGGGAGCAAAAATATTAGTAATCCCTCACATTAAACCTGCAGTACAACACGTCCACTAAAACTTCAGCATCAAAAATGACCATACAGCTGAACCATGAGCTGACCTCTCTGACACAACAAGATGTACACACTATAATCCTAACAATATCTTGTTGCAGGACTAATGTATTGTATTGCAATAGACTTCCAGAGTTCGTGTTATTCTGTACAATGCCTGTAAATCAATTATGTATGCACAGTGAGTACCAGTATGTTACTGGGCCGTGGTGTTCTTCAAAAGAAAAGAGGAACACAGGCTATCAGTGAACTGAAGGTTATTTGAATAACACAGCACTACGCTACCTGCCCCTGGAAGAGACCAGCATCCTGTACAGTGCTGTCTGGCTTGTTCAGCTGCTCGTAGGTGTTGCTCATGTATTTGTTCCAGAGCCGTGTTTCCTTCTCCAATGGGATATTGAACAGCGTTCTCATCTCCTTCTCTATAGTATCTGGGAAAAGGGGATTTGCAAGGCTTGCTTATTATTTTTCCTGCTTATTTTTTAAATTCACAAAACAAATATACAGACTGACAATATTTAGATATTTCCAGCATGCAAGCAGCTATCTATCTGGATATTTTCATTGCAAAGTTAAATCTATAGAACTCTCATGTAGGCCCTTACCTATAGTATCAGCTTTACTGAAATGACGGGTGACAACATTTTCCATGTTGTCATTCTCACACAAGTTGAGCTCCAGCAAATAGACCTCCACCTTACAGTGCTTCACAAACATGCCATGTTCAACAACCTGGAGAAGAGAGAAGACATTTAGGAGCCCAATCCATAAGTGAATGGTCAAAGTAAAAACAAAAAAAGAATATCTTCAACAGCATTACCTTCCTGACGATGGGTCTCTGACCCTCAAGGCAGCCGTACCAGCTGACAAGCTTATTCCATGCCTCAGTGGGCACAAGGACATAGTCCAGCTCATCTATAAGGTGCTCTTTCAGGGCCTGAGTCTCTTGGTCTTTAAGGAGAAAAAAATAAAATGATGACTACAGGCTGACACACAGCTCTTCAAAGCTCTCTGTGGGATCTGTGCATTTCTCAAGAGCAAGCAAATCAACACCCAACAGATGAAAACATACCTGAGAACAGCCCGGAGTTATCAATTGGTCCTGGGTAGAGGCTACGTTCTCCAACATTATACATGTCCCAGCTGTCAAATCCAACATATTTCTTCCACTGTTTGAACCACCGGCTGTCTATGAGATACCTAAAACAAATGGGTTGGTAAAAGTTAATGACAAACATCTCACACTTTGAGAGACACTTGATTGACCCTTTTGAACCTAAAAGACTAATACTTCATGAAACATTTTTGGTTACCTGATATGTTCTCGAGTAAGGACAGAAAAGGGTCAAGAGATGACACAATGCATGGGGCTTTGTAGAAACACTGTACTCAGTCTTATGCCAACCGGGATCATTATGCAACACCAAACTGCCTTGGCATTTGCAGATATAGTAACAGCAAACTACTTTGACTTAATCTCCTCCCGAGTGAGAATCTCCTTTAGTTAATAGGCTTGTTAGCAAGCATTCCCATAGTAAGACCTTGGAGCCATGGAACACTATTTTGCCCGGCCACTGTCAGAATTAATGCAGCAGCCTCATATAGGAGGTGTCTAAAAGTAAGGTGCATGATCTTTGCCTTTTGCCCTCAGGCTGACTTCCCCCTGCCTTTGTGGAAAATCATACATTCAGCTTGAATGCAGTGCTATAGAGGTTATTTTTTAACTACAGTATAATAAACACTGGGAGTGAGAACAGGGAGTAACTGACCAGTATCAAGAACTATATGAACATGTTAGCTAGTAGCAGAACACAAAACACATGTGGCATATTCTTCTTAGAGCCCATTAAGAGCAAATAACGTAATCAAATACTGGCTTATCTGACAATTATATATCGTAAAACTGAATTGCTGTGGTGAAGCTGCTTGTATACATCTAGCTGCATTATGCTCAGGCCTGGATGATCTTTATGATATGAAACAGTCTGAGCTAACGTTGCCACAGGAAGCTGGCCAGTTAAGAAACCTGTCAGACAACTTCACCTGGCATGTCACTACAAGCAGGTAACGTTAACAACATCGCAAAATATTTCTGTCAAAGGGCCCATTTCCTAACAACTAACCATGTAGCGACGCCGGTTTGACTGGCAGAGGAAGCCACCATATGAATGCAGGGCCTAACCAGCCGACTAGCCACCACAGCAGCCAACGTCACCCAACTTGTCACAAAACAGGCATTAACGTTTAAGTACTATACAAAAGAAACACTTAGCTAACGTTAGCCATGTCAGGTAGGTTGTTCACGGCTATAGACATTACGACAGACTCTACTCTAAACTGAGAAACAGTAAAGCCATCTAGCTAGCAGCTAGCGTGCTAACCTGTTAAACATTAGCTGGCCAAAATTATCGGTAGCACAGCAGCTTTCGATTTTAGACTCACAGCCACTGGTGCCGTTAGCCTGCTAGCTTTAGCATGTTAGCATTTCCTGTTTCTAGCTAACGCTAGCTGAAACACCCAGGTACTGCTGGCCGCTGCCGGTTCTTACCATTCGTCGCCCTTTCTTAGAGTCGTCTTCAAAAGTGACCCAATGGTCTGCTTTTGATTCTCGGTTGAAGGGGTTGGCATTTGAGCGGCTACCGGCTCCGAGTCGGAGTCTGCCGCGCCACCCGGCTCGGGTCCGCCTCCCTCGGCCATCATGCAGCGAATGTGCCGGTGTCGTGAACGCGCGGCTGGAGGAGGCGCACTTGAGCGAGCATTGGGAAGCTGCTCATGGGAAACGTTCTTCCTCTACGGTCAGTGCACAACACAGGGCTGCTGTAGCACTCCGGTATGAATGCTCTGTCATCACCATCGACACACCAGTCAGTTAGATGCTAAACGGCGTATGTCAGCAGTGCACCAGAGGAGCCACTTTTCAGAACCATTGGTGTATTGTTGTGACCTCCTCTGGGGCATCTACAAACTTCAGCACTGACTCCCTTTGCAAATTGATAGCCTGAGGGATGGTTCACATTAGTCAAATTACTCATTTGCATGTTAAGTTTATGTGTTGGAGTGCACTGCAAATAAGAAAACCAGTTATTTTGTCAAAACAGGCTTTATGCTGTACAAAACACAGGGAGTTACATTACAAAATAATCCATCTAAATACCTCAAAACACAATCACACAAACATTCTCTGCCAACACCTAATCAGTCTTGGGTCTATGCACTTCCAACTTTGAGCAGCTGACACAGAACAGCCGATCTATCTATGCTCTAACACAGGAGTCATTAAAGATTGTTAAAGTATAGTTAAATAAACATCATTCAGACCTGTAAAATGGTATTGTGTCCTATTGTTTAACCGTGGTGATACATGGATATTGAGTTATGCATGACATAAGAAAAAAGAAGCGCTAGGTAGTTCACATTCTAATACCTAATGGTATTATTATGGCATACATACAGTTGCAAGCTAATAATGCATTCCAATAAGCAAAAAGCCACTTTCTTTCTCCCAAACGTCTCCTTCCCTCAAAAGGTGAAATATAGCAGTGATTTCTAATATGTATGTTACAGCAGCAGAACCAGTGTATTTTAAGTTATTTCAGATATTTTATGGACAGGAATGGAAAGGTAAATACACGTGAACAGACAAGGACCACAAATAAGTGAATGTAAACTTTTGCATAACATGAAGGGATTTGTCCCATCTCTGTGGCTTTAACCGAAAAACAAATCCCTGCAATGATCAAAATTCAGATTTGAAGGCTCCGAGTAAAAGTGACCAGGCCGTCAGAAGATGCCACTTGGCAGCTCCTTGCTAAACATGCCATCAAAGTCCAGCTCTCTGCTCATCAGATCCTCCTCTACGCTCTCCAGCGCCCACTGATGATCGGTCAGCTCCAGTGCCTCCCACTCAGCCTGAAAACAAGGATGGACATCACATGAACAACTGAGCAAAGCCCTCCCTCATTAATGAATCATGTTGAAACTACAGTGTATACCTTGAAAGCTTTATTTGTATCTGCAGGCATGGCCATGGCGGCACCACTCATCTGCTCCTGCATGATCCTGGACTGGTCTGCACCTGTCGGGATTGCATCAACAGAACAATTACCATATGGGAATGAAAAATATTTATCTGAATGCAAAGCTGCTCCAGAATAGATAAAGCCAGGATGTATCTGTAGTCTAAACTTACAATTATATACTGTTTTCATCCTTTTCATATCATAACGATAGGAAAATGTCTCTACTAACTTTAAAAACTAAAGCTCAATTCAATATTAAAGGTCTAGTGTATAGGATTTAGTGCAGGATTGTCCAAACTTGTCCGATATTGTGAAAAAACCTGGGGGCCAGCTGATTCTCGCATCGAATGGGTTATTAAAAACAAAAAACAAACAAACAAGACAAACACATCTGTATCATCTTTGAGTGGCAATGTATTCAACATTCCAGCGCTCTCAAAAACGGCGGCCCTCACTGTCAACTTTACGCTTCTTTGCCATGGCAGGAAATGTCTGCTGTTGGGTAACCAACCACAGTGAGAGCTGTGTCCGCATACTCGGTGTGAAGTCAACCATGTTCTTGGTGGGTGTTGGCTTCCGCCAAGGTTTGGGGACCTCAGAATTGCATCCCTGCTTATCGCAGATGATGTGGTTCTGTTGGCTCCATCACACCATGACCTCCAGCATGCACTGGAGCGTTTTGCAGCCGAGTGTGAAGCAGTTGGGATGAGAGTCAGCACCTCCAAGTCTGAGGCCATGGTCCTCTGTCGGAAACCGGTGGTTTGCCCTCTCCGGGTTGGGGGAGAGTTACTGCCTCAAGGGAGGGAGTTCAAGTATCTTGGGGTCTTGTTCACAAGTGAGGGTAGAATGGAGCGTGAGATGGATCGGCGGGTCGGTGCAGCTTCTGCAGGTATGCGGGCGCTGCGCCGGTCCGTCGTGGTGAAGAGAGGGCTGAGCCAGAAAGCAAAGCTTTCAATTTACTGGTCCATCTACGTCCCAACCCTCACCTATGGTCATGAACTCTGGGTAGTGACCGAAAAAATGAGATCGCGGATACAAGCGGTGGAAATGAGTTTCCTCCGTGGGGTGGCTGGGCTCAGCCTTAGGGATAGGGTGAGGAGCTCGGACATCCAGAGGGAGCTCGGAGTAGAGCCGCTGTTCCTTCGCGTCAAAAGGGGTCAGTTGAGGTGGCTCGGGCATCTGATCAGGATGCCTCCTGGGCGCCTCCCTCTGGAGCTGGAAAGTGTTGCCGAGGAGAGGGATGTCTGGGGTGCTTTGCTTGGCCTGCTGCCCCCGTGAACCGGCCCCGGATAAGCGGATGAAAATGGATGGATGGATGGGTAAGCATTCTGTTTGCTTGTTTCCGTCTGTTTATGGAAACACATTAGTTCCACCTGCGTAGTTCCTACTAGGTGTACGTCTAAAAATTGTATGACAGTCTGACCATTGTGAGGTGAACGGAAAAAATACAAAGTGACCTTGCTTGATTAACCAATATTGTTTGGTGGACCACATACAGTATAATATACATATATGAATGTCAAGCTGAGGGCCTTTGCAAAGTGGTCCATGGGCCACGATTGGCCCCTGGGCCAGACTTTGGATATGCCTGATTTAGTGGCATCTAGCGGTGACGTCGCAGAACTCCAGATTCTCCCATGTGGCAAGTGTGTTGCAGATCTAGGGTGGCCAATATCAACACGTAAAAGACCCTATCTAGAGCCAGTGTTTGGTTTGTCCGTTCTGGGCTACTGTAGAACAACATGTCAGACTCCAAGACAGAGAACCTGCTATGTGTGTAGGTATAAACAGCTTATTTCAAGTAACAAAAACACAACAACTCTTAGTTAAAGGAGATTATAATAATGAAAACATAGTTGAATAGTATGTACAATTGCCCCTAAATCCTACACACTGGACCTTTAAGTGTGAATCAAATAATTCCTTACAGTATGACAAAGTTACTATTACTGTTAAACCCTCTGAGAAAACACTTTCATGTTATCAAAACTACAAATTACCACACAAAAGAATTGAAATTCTCTTAAAATGAGCTAAAATTACCATTGTCTTGGCCTAGAATTAATGAGTACATGCTTCTTAGTCCAAACACATTCAGGAAGTACCACGAGGCAGAGCTCACCCTACATGATAAACACACAGAGACAGAACAGATGAGGAGAAGGTCACACAGTATCTTAAGCATTTGGAGATTATTACATTATGACTCATACAGCACAGATCTTGTTCTGTTAGTTTACCAGGAGGCATCCAGTGAGAGCAGCTCTATTCCTTGCTGCAGCATGGGTTTGAAGCGCAGAGTGAGAGGGAAGGGAACCTTAGCTGTATGAAATAGAGCACAGGTTAGAAAGAAGTCAATATTCCCATATTAACAACAATATCTTATCTGGTAAAAGTCTTTTTTTTGTGCCTTACACATTCTGCACCACAAACAGCAAGATCTGCAAGAGACTGAGATCCTTACTTGTTACAAATCCTGAAAATGTCCAGTTGATCCAGCCTCCAATGAGGATCATGGGAAGCACATTGGTGACATTTCCTTTCATCATGTCTGTCAGCATGCTGGGATCTGTGGAAAGATACAAACAACAACAGTTCAGCAAGATGCACTTAAAAAACATTTTGCGAAGGACAGTTCTTATACATATATATCATTGATAACAACAGTGCAGACTTTGCTGATATGTAAAAATCCAAATGTGTCACATCAAAAGTGTTTCTTGGTAAATACAGACATGAAGCACAGAACACCTGAGAGCTTTTTTTCTTTGAATGACATTCATTTTACATTCAAAGGTCCAGCGTAGGATTTAATAGCATCTTGTGGTGAGGTTGCACTGTGCAACAAACTGAAACCTCTCCTGTGTGCAGACAGTGTTTGAGAACTACAATGGCTGATGTGAAAACGCAAAAGGCTATATCTACAGCCAGATTTGGACTCCGTGGAAGAGGACCCCGCTCAATGTGTAGATATAAACAGGTCATTTTAAGGTAACAATAGCAGGCTGATTCTTAGTTTCAGGTGATTATATGCAAATGAATACATTATTATGAATATTACATTCCATTTCTGCCAATATATCCCCTAAATTGTACACACTGGACCTTTAAATGTGCATCTTTATGAAGGGTCACTGTGGGTTATGACCAAGAGGACTGTATTCATGTACTATATTGGTAAATACTTAAAAGGGATTACCTGTCATTGGAGAGGGCGGAACAACCTTTCTTTTGGTCTTCTTGAAAAATCCATCTTCTTGATTATTGAAGTAGAACTTCCTCATCAAAAAGGACTGAAACAAAAAGAGATTTTCAGTGACGTTCTTCGCATTGCAGTTGTGACAAATGAATGCAAACCAGTGGATGTGTTTAATAACTTGTACATGACTGATGTTGATGGATGATGAAGTCCCCTACCTGTTTGGGAATGTATTTTCCATTTTCTCTAAGGATTCTGCTCCGAATGAGAACCTGGCTGGGTTTGGAGATGACACAACATACAGTTATTAATTCACATGACTTCCAGGTGGGTTTTTCTATTGTTTGTTCATTTGTTTTTAATATGATCCACCACACAGTTGAGGACTGCGTACCTGTCAGAGACCTGTTCTAACGTCAACTTCTTGTCACTCTGAAGAAGAATGGACACATAATGGCGAATCACCCCGACAAGGAAGGTGATGAAGACGATGGGTAACACCACCCAAAGTCGGATGTTGGAGTCCAGCAGAAGCTCCGGTTCAGCCATACAGCCTGGTAGCTTACCTGGAGGATCACAGACAGCAAGGCGAGCGGATAACAAACACTTTCAGTACATGGCAGGCAATATTTACACAGCTTTTCATCGTCTCAAAAAATGAGGTAATGTTTTAACTAGTGTGAGGCATTTTTATTGTAATGCTTTGCTAAACAAAGATGTAGCTGTGGCAAGCTACGACCGAGGGATGCGCTGTCAGCCCATTTAGCTAACGTTAGCTAGCCAGTGTCGTTAAGGTAGCGGTAATAACAGGTACCAAGCTAACAAGCTAACGTCTAACAACCTCATATGAACTCCAAACAGCAGCGACGACCTTGTCTTTGATAAAACAGTAGTGATAATGTATTTGACTACCCCAAATAGCAGCTGACGCTAATGGCTCGCTAATGTTAGCCAGCTGGCTACCTTCCTCCTGATGTCCGGGTGACCGTTGATGGGAGCAGGCGAGTCGTCGTAGCGCGGCGGCGACCTCTTGTAGTGTTTCTTCCAGCTGCTAGAGACCCAGGTCATACGGTATGTGAGGTAGTTTAGTAAATTAAGTTAGATTTAACAGTTTGCATCCACTGTCGGGGCCATCGCGCAGTAGTGTAGACTCCAGGGATGAGAGCAGATTTCTGCTTCTGCAGGTCATCCGCATCTCACCGGGACTGCAGCGCCACCCCGCGATGATGGGGGGAAGTGTCTGCTGGGCCAGAGGCCAGCTGGTGTCCCTGTGCCAGTGATGTCCTCAGCGGGACAGCCTGCGGTCAAGGGGACAGCCCAGGGCGAGCCGATAGAGGAAGTACTCTTATACTTTTGCATTTGACTATCACAGTGTGATATCTCACAATAACACAGTTTGACACTGTATGCATCATCTCAGTGCAGAAATACTCAGCTTTAAGCAGGTTTTAGTGCAAAAAAAGCACTGAAGTATTAGCATCAGAATATACATTAAGCAGGCCAGTACTCATAATGTAGAATTGTCCATCTCAGAACCAGATAAATTATATAATTAAATGGTAATTACTGATGTATTAACACACTGCCTTAATGTTACAGCTAGTGAAGGTGGAGCTAATTTTAAGCATTTCATATATTGCCCCATAACTTGTGGATTTCCCCTCAGAATCAAGGAAGTTTAATCTTAAATTATGATAATACATCATAAATTATGTTGTACATGTACACTACAGTATTTCCCTCCGAATTTCAGTGGAGTACAAGTATGAACTACCCCCCAAAATTGAAATACTCATGTACAGTAAAGTACAAGTACCTCAAAACAATACTTGAGTAAACACTTAGTTACTTTCCACCACTGAACAGCACACATACAGTAAATATTAGACGATGTGTTGTAGGTTGCACCAAGGCAATCAAAGACAGGAGGAATAGCATTTTCAATCAGTTTATGTAGTTTGACTGGTTTATTTTATTTATAAGGACAATAAACATTAATTAACATTTCTATAAATGTGCCAGTGTTAGCAAGCTGGCTAAGTTTCATCTGCAGTCCTTTGGCAACATGTTTTGAGACCAAAAAAAGGATAACATTCACAGGACAAATTCACAGGACAAAGACAGCACAAAGACATAAATACAGCAGTAATTATAGCAAACAGAAACTGAAGCCATGCAGAACATAAGCCATGCAAAGCAACAAGCAACAACAGAGCATTAGTACAATACAGTAACACAACAACCACAGCAAACATGTTAGCACAAACAGACATGCAAGCACCATGAAGCACAGCTTAGCATTACATGCAGACACGCAGAGCAGCAATAGTAAGTTGCTCCTGAATATTATATAAAGTGAAAGCACATTCATTTTATTTAAAGTCAGCACCATTGTAAATTATACAGAATTCTTTTTTTTTGTATCATAGTTTGTTAATGACTGATGGTTAGGAAGATCTGGGGAAACAGGACGCAGCCTATAACTTAGAGTATCTGGCCAGGGTAAGGACAAATATTAAGGTTTCAACGTCTTTTATTTTCTTTCCAAAGGAATCAGACACTGAACCAGATTTACTGGCCAAGTATGTTTTAGGTAATTCAAACTGTTACTATAAACTGTTTATACAAGTTAAGATCCTGTGTAGATTTCGCCCACACTTTACAGTGATACACATTTATAAGTATATTACTTAACAGATTTTTGCACAATTATATATGAAAATGTAGTATTTATTTTATGTGATGTTTTAGTAATACAGACTAATTTCACAGGAATAAGAGAGCATTATGGTTTGCTTGTTTGTTCACCGTGTCCTCTGTGTCAGTAGGGGGCGATAGTGCGCAGTTAACGTGTTTGCTATCTGTCTTAAAAACAGAGAAGAAGAGCCTTCTGCTGACCGGAAGGACTGGGGAGAAAACAACATCAGATGCTGCAGTCCGTGCCAGTAAACGGTATGTAACACGGTGATTTGTATTTGTTGTTTCAGCTAATTTAAGCTAAGTTATTTAAGGTCACGTTAGCTAATCCATACAGAATCAAACGTTGAAGCTATAACGTCTATCACACACAGCTAAACTAGCTCGGTTGCTACAGTGTTAGCAAAGGGCCGCCTGTTTCTGCAGTGTTGTCGCTGGTTGGGCTCAGTTTTCTTATTGTTGTAATATCGCCTTCTGTTAGTCGTGTTAAGGCAGGCCTTTAGTGTCCCTGGCTTGGCTTCATCAGTGACCTTAGCCATTCATATGTGATCTGAATGTAATGATAATATTGTATTGAAAATTCAGCCTTTTTTTTAGAGCACATCTTTCAGCGCAAAACGTTTTTATATTACAAAATCCTAAAGTCAAATCTGCTTTTCAGCTTCATAAAGTTAAAACAAGTCAAGGCGTTAGTTCCAGTCATTAAGCCATCAATCTCTCTGATGTTATCCCTGAAATTGAGAGCTATTTTTGATAGTGATCCAATGGCTGAAAACTTTTGATTTTTCCACAGTGTCACTTGATCCTCTACATTAAACCATGGGAGCTGATAAAAGGTAAAATGAGCATAATCCAACTTGAAAGTGGCACATATTCAGTGTACCCACACTGACCCTCATTTTCTTTTTTTCAGGCTGAGTCGGGGTGAACGTAGTGGAAGATATGGCTCGGATGGGAGGAGAGATGATCCAGAATGGCATGAAAGACGGAGCAGAGATGTGGAGAGGGATTATGATCGACGATGGGGTGATGATAGACACCGGGAGCGCTTTGATGAACGCAGAGACAGAGACAGTCCAGAGGTGAGGGAAATGGAATATTATTGTAAGCTCATATTACTTTCTCACATGTAATAGAAAATACAAAACATCTTGGTTCTAAATTTAATAACAACAGCATTTTGTGTGTGTTTGTCTGCAGCAGAGGGGCCGAAAACGACGCAATAGTGACAGATCCGATGATGAATACGAGGGGGATTATCCAGACCAGGACTACAAAATGGAGCAGGAGGAGGAGAGCAAGACTATAATGCTGAGGGGTCTCTCTCTTCATGTCACAGAGGATGATGTAAGCTCACAAGTCTCACTGATGCCACTGATTTAAGAGTAAAGCCACGCAGAGTGTCGAGAGATACGTAGAAATGCTGCCTTCTGCTTAATTTTTCATGAGGAGCAGTGAATCCCTCATAAAGAGTGTGATGTATTGAGGCAGAGAAGGATGGGCTGTAGGCTTTTAGGGCTGAGTTCATAGTCTGTAAACTGACCTGGAATGGGTGTGAAGTTACGGTGCTGAAACCAGAAACACCTGAGATCCTTTGTGAATGTAAATGAGAATAAATTTTAGAAGTCAGAGGCAGCCTCTGCACCAATCTGTCTCGTTTGTTGACCTAACATTTGGGCTTGCGTGGCAGTTTATCCATCATCAAGCAGCTGATTGTGGGAGGTTTTGGCCACATTTGGTCTGGCTTTACCACAAGTTCTGACAGTTAAAGTTAGGAAGTTGAGTTTGTTCAATGACTACAGCTCATGTCAGCTGCTTTTTGACTAACTTGGTAAGGAAGAGGCAGCCTATCATTTCTAAATATGGAGAAATGGCGTGAAGTTTGATAAAAGTGTTACCTGCATGTTATTAAAACTTAAGTTAAAAACTTAACTTGCTAATGCTTGGCAATACAGTGAAAGAGATCAGTAGTTGCATTCAGATGAATTTGACTGTCTCCAGATCCGCTCAGCGCTCGAGCAGCTGCAGGGGCCCCAGCCTGTGGACATACGCTTGATGAAGAAAAGGACAGGTGAGTGTCGAGTGTCTCCTGTTCACCTCCACGTTCTGTCTTACAGCCCACTTTGCTTCTTTTATTGCAATCCCTAAAAAAAAGCCTCATACTACACCTGTCAGAGGATCCTTTGTGTCACGTAGTCTGGTTTTGATTATATGATGATGATATGGCCAGGTAAGGAGGTTACTGTTTGTACTGTTCCCTCTACTATTTCTGTACAGACATTACGTGTTATGGTAAACACCATACTGCCACCATCCCCTTGACCTTGTAAGCACCCTTCCCACCTCCGTTTTTGCTTTGAACTGGACTGTACAAGCCCATTGTGAGTTTGAATGTTGCACCAAAGCATTCTAACTAACACGCCTCCCGTCTATATTTGAATGCTGTCTCTAGGTATAAGCCGAGGTTTCGCCTTCGTGGAGTTTTATCACTTGCAAGATTCTACCCGATGGATGGAGACCAATCAGGTTGCCTCAACAATCACCAAGTTTAGAATTATTCTTGGAGATTAGGGCCCCGATTAACCGATACATGAGTGACATATTTGCAATATACAGAGCTAAAAACTGTTGGTGTTTAGATGTAGGACTGTATGGTAGCCTTGGTCACTCAAAACTGTGATATCAGAGGTAAATATATTTGATATCACACTCTTGGCTCATTGATTTATTTCAGACAGAATAGTCTCAACTGCTTAGATTACATTATGTTGTGAATTCAGTATTGAATCACTTCTTGTTTTTGGAAATGCAATGAAATATTTTGTCTGTTCTGTTACGAATATTAACCAAGATACTATGCAAAAAAATAGGACAATAAGCTACATAAGCCTCTCCTCCATGAAAGGAGTATTCGTCCTGTCCACAGAGTGGCCCAAGTAGTCTTGTTCAGTCTCGACTATCCCATATGTGGTTCCATAGCACATTCTGCTCCAGCTCAGTCACTTGGATATTTTCTCATCTCCATTAAAAATCCGAAGACTGGAGTGAAACATGGACGAGCTGGCAGCACTCCGATCCCAAACACTTAGAACCTTTTTTTTATTTTGAGAACTCATTCCCTCATACACAGAACCGCAGCTTTCTCTCTGAACTTCACTCTCTGCCTCTGTTCCCTTTTTACTCCCTGAGACACTCTACCTAAGCAGCTAAGAGTGTAAGCCTAGCCACTCTTTCCCGTTCCAGCTGCTCTCACGCGTCTGTCGGGAATTTGAAATAATTGTTGGATTTTGACTTTCGCAGAACAAGTTGGTGATCCAGGGGAAGAGCATCGCGGTGCACTACAGCAACAGGAGACAGAAGTTTGAAAACTGGCTTTGCAATGCAGTGAGTGTCATTTATAACTAGCTTTTGTTGCCTTTTACACAGGCAGAGTATAAGCACATTGAAATTCCTGCACGTTTCTCTAAGATAGGGGGACAAAAAAACAGGAAACAAAAAAGGGGAGGGGGTACTGAGTTG